CCCCCCCCCCCCCCCCCCCCCCAAGTAGTGCAAGAGCACCCTGGAGGTGTGTGTATCATACTTGGCAAGTCTCGCTGTGTGGGCCTGGGGGCAACATATATATATTCTTGCCACCCATTCCTGTAATGTGCTCCATTGTACTCCCCCTGTTCTCTCTGAACTTTTTCCCTGTATTGGTAAATTTTAAAAAAGGAAGGTGAAAGTTTCCCTTTTAAAAAAGACACCTACTCATTATTTCTGCACTACTATTTCTGACTCCCTCCCAAGGGGAATAGTATTGACTGACTCATATCAGCAGCTCCTATTGTTAGGCCACAACGGAGCAGAGATCGTTCAGAAACACTGGTTTAAATTTCTCCATAGCGGTCATTAATCTGATGTCACACGGGACCTAGATATTTGGGGAAAGGTGGAATTACTCAGCCTGTCATACAAAGGGTTTCTAACGAACTGTCCCCTCAGGTCAGCAGACTTTGGCGAAGAGTTAATGATCACCTGTTGTTTTGCCATTTTAAATAGAAGCTACAATTATTCTACACCTTCTCTCTCTCTCTCTCTCTCTCTCTCTCTCTCTCTCTCTCTCTCTCTCTCTCTATTTCAGCACCAAACTCAGATTGTATTTCTTCCACTCCCTTGCTCTGCCCTCAGGTGGCTGACAGGCAGGAGGGAGGAGGAACATGGGAGGAAGACAGAGATGGAGGGAGTGCGAAAGTGAAAGGCTGGAAATCAGAGATGGATGAGACTATGAGAGGGAACCAATGAGAGATGAGCGAGGAGCCGCGAAGCTACTGATGAATGTCAAAGACCATATTTGTCTTAAATCATATCTGAAGACACTAATGTCACATCCTCTCTAAAGGTTACAGACGAAAAAGAGAAACGATTGGCAGCTCAGACAAAGGCTGTGGTCCATCTAACTCACGAGTGTCTTTCTCACTGTTTTATTACCTCTGTTCCAGCTGAAACCAAATGGAATAGATTTATCCAGATGTTCTTCATGGACAGGGCCCAAGATGCTGTATACGAGAGAGCTTGATTTATTGTTTTGGGTGTATTTTGCTTGTTTCCTTTTTGCTTTGGATTAAAAATTACATATTTGTTTTTACATTGTTATGTAGTGTTGGACCCCATGAAGAGTAGTTTTTACCTTGGTAGTAACCAGTAGGGAGTCCGGGTAATTAAATAAATAAATAATAACATGTTGGGCGACATTCAACTTCAAATCAAATAACAAATTACGTTGTCCCCCCCCCCTTTTGTTCATCGGTGGGTGCTGGAAGCAATATTTTTGAAGTTGGTGTTCTTTGGGGGTGTTTGCGTGTGCCTGTTTTTTAATGCCAGTTTATTTCTACATTCAACTGCACATGTTCACAATTCTATCATAAGATTTTTACCACCAAAGACTATAAAGACTATAACATGATGTGCGCAGCCTGGTTTAAACATGAGGACACTTTTTCTCTGAAACAGAAATGAGCTATTAAAAGTGCAGGTTATAAATTAATGAAAATTATTGTATTACGTAAATTGTATTTATTTATTTACATGTGTTCCCCCAATGTTGAAATGAAACCTATGCCTTTGTATGAGAGAATCCAAGCTGATGCAGCTTTGAAGTGGTTTTCTGATTAGTTGCCTTGATAAATAGCCTTGATTATACAAGGATCCAACATGTCTAGTTTAAAAACATTTTGACACTAAGAAGAATATGACGGGTGATGTGGCTTCAATTTTTGAAATGGTTTGACTTTGACAAGTTACATAATTTGCCTACATGCCCAGGACTGGATCAA